CAGTAGCGGTGCCCATCTAAGGATTAATATACAAAATATAACAACACCTGCAATAGTGGTGCCCATAATTCAGTAGCGGTGCCCATCTAAGGATTAATATATAAAATATAACAACACCTGCAGTAGTGGTGCCCATAATTCAGTAGCGGTGCCCATCTAATGATTAATATATAAAATATAACAACATCTGCAATAGTGGTGCCCCTACTTCAGTAGCAGTGCCCATCTAAGGATTAATATAGAAAATATAACAACACCTGCAGTAATGGTACCCATATGCAGTAGCGGTGCCTATGTTGTTTTTAATTTTTGTCAAACAATTCTTTATATTGTATATATTTTTGTTATGTTTAAACTGTACCACTTTGAAAATCAGTGTAATAGTACTGAAAGTGCCTATACAGTATAAAAAAAATATATAAATAATAAATAAATTTAAGGCATAATATATAAAATATAACAACACCTGCAGTAGCGGTGCCCATAATGCAGTAGCGGTGCCCATAACTGCAATAGCGCTGCCCATCTAAGATTAACGTATAAAATATAACAACACCTGTAGTAGTGGTGCTCATACTGCAATAGCGGTGCCTATGTTCTTTTTATTTTTTGTTAAACAATTCTTTATATTGTATATATTTTTGTTATGTTTAAACTGTACCACTTTGAAAATCAGTGTAATAGTGCTGAAAGTGCTTACAGTATAAAAAAAAATAAAATAAAAATAAATTTAAGGCATAATATATAAAATATAACACCTGCAGTAGCGGTGCCCGTAATGCAGTAGCGGTGCCCATCTAAAGATTAATGTATAAAATATAACACCTGCAGTAGTGGTGCCCATGCACTAGCGGTGCCCGTCTAAGGATTTAATATATAAAATATAACAACACCTGCAGCAGCGGTGCCCATAACTGCAATAGCAGTGCCCATCTAAGATTAACGTATAAAATATAACAACACCTGCAGTAGTGGTGCCCATATTCTTTTATTTTTTGTTAAACAATTCTTTATATTGTATATATTTTTGTTTTTAAACTGTACAACTTTAAAAATCAGTGTATATTTATTTATTTATTTTATTTATTTGAACATACACCTTTGAATCGGTGGCACTCAATATCAATTGGTGCGTTCGTACAAACATAAAAAGGGTAAAATTTAACAAACGAAATTAATAACAATCGACTGTATAAGAATTAATATTACAAAATTAAAGAAAGGTAGAAAAATAACATAAAATTAGATGAGATAAAAAAATCACATTTCATACTCAGAAATACGTAGGTCTACTGTAATGTAAATGCTTAAAATAACTAACCTAAAAATATAAAATCTAAAGATGGAAAAGTCTTACAACAAAAAGATTAAACCAAAGTATAATACTGAAAGTGCCAATAAATAATAAATAAATCAATTTAAGGATTAATATATAAAATATAACAACACCTGTGTAGCGGTGCCCATCTGAGGATTAATATATAAAATATAACAACACCTGCAGTGGTGGTGCCTAATAGATTAGAGTTAACAACACTACAGCATTGAGGGCGCTCATTTGTACGTTGTCGGGACGGGGAAACCCCTTTGACACAACAAAACAAAAAGTAACGCGCAGAGAGAGGCAAAAGTTTTAATGGTAACCATAACTACGACTTGTCACACATAGAGGCGGAAGAATTCCTTGAAATTTGTTTTCTGAAAATATTAAATTAAATAAATTAGAAACACAAGATTTCTAAATAATCAATTTAGTTAATTATAATATTTATATTTGGATGTTGTATATTTCAATTTCTGTTTAGTGTTAAATTGTTTGGAATGTATCAAACTGAACTACATTTTTACTCGAACGGATACAAACAAAGGGTAAGCATGCGTCGTCCCACAGTGGAATCAAATGTTGGGGTTGTCGGTGCGGTGTAGCAGGACCTGAGTTTAGCTTTGTTTTTCATCATCAAATTACATTTTAGTCGTCTTAAAGGTGATAGACTTGCGAAACAACTGTTGTAGCTAATCAAATCTACATATATCACCTATTCCTGGTAATATTATAATTTTATCACCACCTAGCCTACACTACTACTCTACTACTGTCACTCCAGTGTTGAATTTCGGCGGGCAGCCCCGCTTCGACCTAACATCGCCTAAATCTGTTAAAATATAGGGTAGGCTAGCCCATGCCTAGCATCAATGTTTGGGCTAATTTGAATGATTAAAAAGAAGTTGACTGCTAGTGATTTTACAGAATCATCCCTTAAATTAAACTGAGATGCCCCGATCGAGAAAATTTTCTCCAGCCACCAATAATGATGGAGTATGGGTGAGTAACCAGTCATTTTTTATGTGTATTTTATCAATTAAATATACAAATTTATTTCGTATTATGCTAAATTTGTGTATTTTTAATTACGTGAAAATACATTATTAAAACAGCTCAGGTCATGCATCTTTAAGCAAATGATAGGCATCTCAGAATCGGCTTCTGTAAGCTGAAGTATAATTTATTGTTTATTAATATTATACAAATTAATAATAATCCTAGCTAGCTCAATCTATTAACTAAAATTAGTAACATAAAATCAACATTGGCTTGCAATTAATTTTTTAGTAATATTTATACTACGCCGCTACGGTACTGGGCTAGTTAAGTATTTAATCATACCATAGGCAAAATAATTAAAAATTGTTATGTTGATAATAATTAGTTATTACAGTACCACTACTGTACCTATGTATGTTATCATTATTAACTAACTGTTAACTTTCATTAATATGAAAGTTAAAAAATACATTTGAGTAATATTTTTATATTCTACCAAAATATAGTTTCGTACAAGAGGATGGACACATGAGCCCCTTCAACGCAGCTCAGCAACTTCCACAGGGGACATGCTGACGTCAACATTTAAACCAGAGTCATCTGCGTTTCCCAAGCCACCACCTGAACCATTCACTGCCTTAGAAAAGGTATTACATTTTATTTTTAAATTACTAAATTGTAATTAATATTAATAATTTAATAATTAAAAAAAATATATAATAAATTAGAAAAATAAAATCGTTGAGCCTTATAAATAGCTCTACAATACAGTGGTGTATGCAAAGGTAAAAGGGGAGGCTTGATGTTTAAGCGAGGGATGGGGAGATTTTTATTTGCTTTGAACATTTTCAATGGGAGTGGGGAGACTGGGAGTACAAGTTTTTTTTGGGGGGGAGGGGGATGTTCCCGTGTCCTCCCCTAGATACGCCACTGCTACAATAACCGTCTAATATTAATGGTCTCATTGGAGCTGCATTGGTTTTATTCTCACCTTTTATGGTAAATCAAGGTGTACACTGCATATATTTTCTTCTGCGTGATTTTGTGTTTATTTTTCATGACAAAAATGAATCCATCATATTTTTGAAATGATTTTGCACCTGCAAGTCCAATTATAATAATGATATACAGGTGAGAATTATTAATTACTATGGGACTTGACAGTAAATTCAATTACTGTCCAAGTGTCCAAGGTTTTATGAAGCATTCTATTATTACAGTGGTTGACTGCTTGTGTATTATTCTCAAGTACACCTAGTAATTGTAATGAGTGAGTGAGTCAAGTGATTGTACTTGAAAGTACAGAAAAACCATTACAAATGTAATGACCTTTGAAGAGTTGATAACGCTGCTACTTCTTGTAGCATTTATCACAGCCAACCAGACAGAGATTTTTCAGGATTTTAAATTTTTAACAGACATAGAAGGATAATTGTGCAAGATTGCGATTTTTTTCTCTCTATAGTTCTGTGCGAGAGTCAATTGATTGTATTTGTACTGTACATACAAATAAACCATTAGAAACATGATGAATCTTGGAGAGACGTAATATCCTGAGCCCACAATAAAAAACAAGTTTCTTAGCAACATCACACATATTGAATAATGTACACACAGTTACTGTTTATAAGTTGAGACTGCAGACTATAATTAAATGTGCAAGATACCATTAGCGCCTGAAGTTGTAGATGTAAAAATGAAGATTGTGTGGAGAATTTGAGAGCTTGGAAGATATGCCTGTACATTATAACAATTATACCATTTATTATAACATTGATAGAAAATGTATTTGCTTTTTAAAACATTAGACAGGAGCATGCCAAGATAATATTGGGGTTGGGAGAGGCCCCTGTTGAATGAGCACTAATGATGGCAGATATTGGAGGGGAGGAATTTACTGGGGAGGGGGGTTTGAATTAAAGGTGGGGAGAAATATACAAAAGGATTTGCTGCAATATCTTTCCATCATTATTATTTATTGATATTTTAATTATTAATAATTGTAATATCTCCATCTATTCATTTCAATCCAATTTAAATTTGATTTACTGTGATTTATTAATTTGATTGACATTATTTATAGGAATAAAATTGTTGAATTGTTTGAGAATGAGAACATTGTGACCTTTCCTGTGAAAATTGTATCTGTAGAGTATTGCTTTTTTTATTTGACAATAATGTTCTTGAATTTATTTCAGAGTAGTTATATTGAGGAAAATCCATTTTCTGGACATGATAACAGACATTCTTTTCAAGACCATGGGGTTTATTTTGGTCAGGTAAGTACCTTGTGTTTATGAAAGAAAATTTGTATCACTTTATTTATTTTATCCTTTAATTTAATAACTGCATATTTTAGAGATAAATGTGAAAAGTCAATATTCTCAAAATAATTAAACTTCTTTAAATGATTTAAATATCTTCATACACATTCTAGTTTCAGGGTATGTACTAATACTGTAAAAATTTAGCTTTTAAATTAATGTTTAATAACATATTCTAATTTAGGCAAAGTTAAGAGAAAAAAAAAATTTCGTTTTGAAAAAAAGGAGGCCTATTTTTGAACTACTTGGCAGAGAGAAACAATGCAGATATAGTGCCTTGCTCAAAGACACAAGTAATTGTTAACAGGAATTGGAACACTAACCTCTCAATTGGAAACCAAGAGACCTACCACTAGGTTACCTGCCTCTGACACTCACAGACTTCTTCGGTTATTTCTATATCATTTGATAGCAGTCTTGGCAACTGTCACTGTTACAACACTGTATTATCTGAATTTATTGTGTTACTGGTTTCAGGGTCTTGGAAAAAAGTTATGGCAAGGAGAGAAACGTCAACACAATTCACGAGATCTCATCACGTGGGAAAATGGCAATCTTCAATACAGCACTTATTACCGAGACACTTACAAAGGAACGCCATGCAAGGAACCCCTAACGCAGCGGAGGTTTCCGCGCATACACACCGAACCGAAACAGGGAACGATAAAACTAGAAACAACGACAACAGACTGGTATCAGCCACCAAAAGTTCCGTACGAAACACCAACGCAGATTCTTGCCTCTTCGCAGGAGCCATTCCTGGAACATAATCCGTGGCGCTACTCCTATAAATCATATTAATTTGAATCACTTTCATGCTCATTTCTATTTTAAATATGTATTTTATTTACTTGATTCGGTGCACCATGGACTAACAAAATAAGTGGATGCTACATTACTCCTTGTGTAAAACAGTTTGCAGTATTACGGTATTTCAAACACTTTATACAATAGATAAAACAAAAATTAAACTATTAAGCACAAACAGTAATAGTTGTTATAGGATGATTTGTTTGATTTACTGTAATAACAGATGTAAGGGCTTAAATTTTTAGAAAAAATGTATTATATTTATAGACAAACATTTACATTTGTAATAAAGACATTATTTTGTTTGTGAGTATACTACTGCATTTTGGAAAATTTTATTTACTCCAGCCCCTTGCAGATTTATATCAAATGATGTGAATAGAATACAGTAATGATTATTCAAGAAGAATAATGATTCTACAAGTACTGTAGTACATGACCAATCTTTAAATGGATATAGCTGTCATCATCATTATGAGATCGGATAGGCATAATCAACAGCAATGAAAACATTTGAGAATTTTTTATAAAACTGATTATTGGGTAATACTGTACATCACAATACTAATACAGTGAACCCTCCAATTTAAGACCCCTATTCTGAAACCCTCTAATTTGAGACCACTTTTTCAAAGAACCAAATAACAATCGTCAATCTTTTAACACCAAGCTAACCCTCTCAGAGGACACCAAACCAAGAGACCACCCCAAATTTTTAGGTCCCAAAGTGGTCCTAAATTGGAGGGCAAACTGCAGTCCACCTTTTAATCATGTACAGTATACAGTTTATGAGCCTGCATTCTCCTAGTTTAAACATCCTGTACTGATGATTGCAGTTCCTATATATTTTGGCCTAAAAGCACCATCCCAAACCATACTCCAGGAACATAGATGGCCACTTGTTCTGTACCACTTAATGAAGATGTTGGACCCCTGCTGTCAACAAACATGTCAACAGTCATTGACTGCCGTTGCTGCCATTCATTGTGCTTGGTAGTGAAGTCCATTTCATTTCATTTTTTTTTTCATTTCATTTCTTTAGGCACGAGGGCCAAGGATATGCCAATAAGTGAACTTAATCACTGTCCTACGTGGCATATCCATTTAACAACAGGGGACTTAATGGACCAGTACACCGGGGTAACCCCCTACTCTTCTCGAATGATGTACCGGGTT